AAGATATTACAAAATGGCTATAGGAAAAAATGAACAGTGATTTTGGTTGTCCTCATCGCCATCTAAACTTTATCGCATGGTCATAGTTGTTTGGTAGTGTTTCAATTTTCATTGTGTTTTTACTAATCAGAAGGATCAGAAATTTGAAGCATGTGTACATCTTAGTGATGCAAATCTAATAAAAATATGAAAAAAATAATTCATAAAATATAAATTGATCAAAATACCCTCATAAATTTACATTCAAGTTAATATGTCTAGGTCGGGTCGGATCGGGACCTGTCCGAACCATTGTCACCCCTCGCATAAACCCAACGCACTACTATAGTGGGATTTGGGATTATGGGAGATGACCTCTTCAACGGAGGACCAAGAAAATAATTTTGTTTGGTTTTATTTTGGATACTGAAACCTAAATATTTAGAAACTCATAGTTTTTCTTTATCGTAAATTTTATTTATTTGAATACTTACCTTGTGAGTTTGAAATGGATCGAAGCTTTTGAATTGGGAAAATACTCCAAAGTAGATTTTTTATTTGAGGGACTAAGTAAACAGTATATCTCCTATAATGGAGCACATTATATACATACTCCCTCGTAAAAAATGACGATTTTTATTTGAAGTTCTCTAAGTCCACTTTATAATCACGATACGAGTACTTAAAAAGGAGAGATAATGCAACTGGCAGTTTTTTTCAAAGCCAATCGAATCTTGCAACTACTTTTGAATTCTTGAACACTGGAAATGACCATCCACAAACTCATTGGTCTCTATTTGATTAGGCAAAGTACATAATGATATTATTTATCTTTAATACAAGAGGGTCACATTAATCTTGATTAGTGGATGTAAAATTGGGTGGCTGCATCTATTTCATTGACTAAGCTCAAACTTCAAAATTGTTTTTCTCGAACTTTGTGACATCCAAACCATCAAATTTCACGTCAAATAGTTATAAGGAATTGTGACCATCTTGTATTAAAGATAAATGATCTTATTATATACAATCCCATTTGAAGATTATTGTAATACTTTTTTTCCTTTTTTTTGGATCATATATAGAATAAGTATGGACATTTTTTTTTTTTTTTGACCTTTTCTATTTTATTTTATTTTATTAAGATTTATCGCTAGGTTGAGGGCATGTCAGCTTTACTTTGTTTTACTCTTTTATGAAAGGGCAAGGTTTATATAAGGTTGATGCCTTAATAATAAAAGTAAGACGCACATCCAAATGCTGCCCAAAGATGTTTTAGTGTCAAAAATCCTTTATGACGAGAAAAATTATATTCATCTCAAATTATTGAAGCTTTAAAAATAGTATAGATGTAGAAGGTTTACAAATATTTAAAACTATTGAAAATTGACGGTTCATTTAATATATTAAAAGATGAACAACCAAATCTTTTTCAATGAGTTTTTATGGTTGCCATCTTATATAAACTTTTCTTTTATTAAAAGGGGGACAACATGTGATATTCACGCTAAAATCACCTGTAACAATAATGAGCATCATTTCACGGTAAATACTAGAAAGAGTGCTTAGTCAATAGCTCCAATAGATCTCTCTCTACCAAACTACAATACTACTACCAGTCTAGGGGTGGTAATGGGTTGGGTCGGGTCAGACCTCGTAACCAACGAGGACCCAAACACAAAAGTCGTAGGGAGGCGAAGGCAACG